CCACTGAACTTTTTGCATTTTATATCTTCCTTCTCTGAGCTGTTTGACAATTCAAATTTAAAGCAAATGAAATGTATCTTGGACTCACAGGCTGCTGCCGCAATGTGTATTGCAGATAACTGAAAAGCTCAAATGACATTTAGAAAGCCAAAAATTCTGGGCCTTCTTCTAAATATAGCAAGGACCTGCCACTGTTAAAAACCGTAATGATGACATGTCTTATTGCCTTCTGACTGTAATTTCATCTTTGCCATCTGCAGCCAGGAAAAAGGTTCATCCAGTGTTATAAAGAGTAATAACATTTCTCCAAAGAGAAGTGTGAATCCCTTTATTTCTTAAAACATTTATTTGAACCTTAAACAATATTTTAAAAGTGAAAACAGTACGTTGATAGGGAGTTCTCATCTAGTGACCTCACTTAAAATTAACGCAGAAATCACAGAGTTTAATGCCCAGCAGAGAGGGGCAGAATCTTATTAGGTATAATGATAAAGCATTTAACAAATATAATTTTGCTGAAATCTTCCTTTAGGTAAAGCATTGCCATTTTCATTCTCAAAATGTTCATATAGTAACAGTTTAGTAAAGAAAAGTTCCCACCTGGAATTCTTACTAGCTTAAAATCACTTGCCTGAGAGCCTGAGAGAATTCATCGCGTCTCTCAAAGTGGTTTACTTCCACAACCTAATGCTCTTTTTCACTTAAAGGCTGGGAGTAGTTGCCACTAGAGGATGCTGTTGCTTCTTTGTTCCAGTTTGAGGCAGGTTCAGTTCTGATCTTCTCAATCTCAAAGCAAGAGAGAAAGGCAGCTTTACCTTTCCCAAGTGAGTTTGTTCTTCTTAAGCCTCCAGAGTTGGCTGAATATGTTGGAACAGCTCAGAACAAAACAGAATGGTTAGTAAATGAAATAGCCTTGTTAAAATGACTTCATATATCTCTTTGTGATGGACCAGAATGGCAACCTAAAATTATAGTGGCCAAAAAGTCTCACTAGAGGCTGTTTGGACATTAAACAGCATTTTGTTTTTGTTTGGGGGGCCAGGGATTGAATTCAGGGCCTTGCAGTTGCGAGGCAGGTGGCAGAACCACTGGGCCAAATCTCCAGCCCCTGTTAAACAGTTTTTGAGGCACTCCCAGAGGAAGTAAGGGCAACTGGGAAGAGAGGAAAAGCTGGAAGGTTATGGAGATGGCTGTGCCCTGGCCAATGCTTCTCCAGTTTGGCAGAAATCTGCTTGTCCCCCTTTCTGATTCTATATTAGCTCAGACAACATTTGGAAAGCATGTTCATTATCAGTTTTATTAGCACTATATATTCTTGGCTCACTGGGAAATTCTGGGTTGAAAAAGTTAAAAAAATTACTTGCAGCAGAACTTTCAGAACACTTAATTTACAATGCACTGAACGCTGTGTGTCTACAGCCAGCTTTTTGCTGAGGGTAGACCTTAAGAGTGGTCCTCAATGGAGAGGCTTCTCTAAGGGACAACTGACAGTATCTGAAGACATTTTTGATTTTCCTGATTGGGGGAGATGAAACTGGCATCAAGCAAGGAAAAGCCAAGGCAGTTATTCAACATCCTCCACTGCCCAGGATCACCCCTTCTCTCAAGCAACAAAGAATTATCAGACCCCAAATGAAAGTAGTTTAGAAGTTGAAAAGTCTTGCTCTATTTTATACACTTATGCTTGTTTATGCATGAACTTATTTTTTCTTAAAATTTCTTGCACCAGTAGAATTCTGTGGTAAATAAGCTGGAGAACTCTGCCCTAAATTTACCGACAATGGTGGAATTGCAGTGGCATATTCTTTCTTTAATATTCTTCCTTTAATATTCATTCTTTTCCACCTTCATTGGCCTCTCCTTGAGCTACTCTTGAATTGGCTTCTTGATGCATTCACTTTTTCTTTTCCATTTGTAACCTCTCTCCTTCCTTTTCTTCTTGTTTCTTGAATGGGTTGTTTCTTGTGGTTTTGTGCTTCATTTCTTGTGGTTTTGTGATCAGTCTTTAGAAGACTCCTCTCTTCCATGATTTCAATTATGTACTCCCATGCCTGTGTGCCAACCTATATCCTCTGGATAAATGGAACTTAGGTCTCCCTCAAAAGATCACCTATATGTTGGATGCTTTCCCAAAGTAAAAATGTCCCCCTCCAAAACTATTTCTTTCCTCTTTGATTTTCTATTTTCCTCCCCTTTTGAGGTATTCTTAAATTCTTCTTAGTCAGTTCTTCTTAGTCAATCAGATATAAACATGTTTAGTCAGTAAGGCTTTGGAACCCTCTTGGTCTTTCTATCTCTTCTTCTTTTTTTTTTTTTTTCTTTTGTACTCAGGATTGAACTCAGGACCTTGTGCTTCAAGGCAGGCGGTGACATCAGTGAGCTAAATCCCCAACTTGTGTCTGTCTCTTCTTAAATGAGGTCCTGATTGGATTACTGAAATAAATTCCAAATCAAACCTTCTGCTTCTGCTCCCGACTCCTTCCATGTATCTGTGCACTATCTCTATTTCAATCATCCTAATACATAGCTTTGATTCTTTTCTAAAGAACTGCCCGTAGTGAGTTCCCACTGACTTTTGAATAAAGTCTTCACAGCTTATGCCAGCAATCAAACTTCCCACATTGTATTCAAAGCCCTTGTTCTACTGTCTCCTCTGTTGGAATTCCAGACAGAAGAAATGCTCATGTGAGGACAAAGTTGTGGAGCTGGTGATGTGTGCCAACTGTTTATGGAAAGGACGTTTTTGTAAATCTCTTGGAATTGAATAGCTTTTGAGATATTACAGCTGAAAAATTGAAGCTCTAAATTATCATAGATACATTTGAATCACAATTCCAGGTTAAGGATAATGTAATAAATTGGTGAATATAACTCAAAGATTCTACTTCTCCAAGATAACAGCAAATTAAACACTTTAACATTTGTTGCACATAACATGAATGCAGAAGGAGTAAATTAGTAACGTGCATGAATAGATACTGCAGGAAATGATATTGGTGTCCTACTCACATCCTCTCTGTACTTGGGTATGCATGATGAAGGCAAACACCTGCATGTACTGCAAGTACTCGAAACTCTCTACATGAGGACCTTTTAATTCTGACTGAAGGTGTGTGCTCAGTCTGTCCCCAGAACAGTCTGGAAGTGCCAGACTCAATGAATGAAAAAAGAAGCCAATGCCAACAGTAGGCAGAGTACTGGTGGACAAATAGCCCAGTTTCTTTACCTCTGAACTGGACCAACTATGTGGTAAAATCTGCAGTGTTTCCCAGAGTTCCTCAATGAGACTGAGTTCAAATTCACTACTATCTTTTGCTTTATGAAACACCTTTCATTAATTTTATGCCCAGTCTCATTTCTCCACTCCCAGCAGAGCTCTTTCAAGATCACTTCCCAAAACAAAGCTAAACAAATAAAAAACTACATGCAATTGAATTCTTGTCTCTGAATATATTGGGGGAACCCAAAATAGAAGTGCTGCTGGAAGGGCAATTGCACATTGAGAAATTAAGAAGAGTCCATGGCAACTAGAATTTATAGTTGAATAAAAATATTTCAGGAGTCAGGGCAAAACTTCCTCAACACAAGTCACAAAATATATAGAAACTTTGGAAAACCCCCGTTGATTTGTGAGGGGCTTGCAGGTCTTATTTCTATTATCTAAGAGCTTTGGATAGAGAAAGATAAAGTCAGTAAAACTTGAAAGTATTCACTAATGGAATGCTTACTTTTAAATTACTCTCAACTCAAATTTCTTTCCCCTATTAACACTTAGGTGTACTTCACCCATAATGCTGTGTGGCAGCTTGCTTATTTAGCCAAGCAACACAAATGAATCTGTCACTTAATTCCAGTAATAAATGTGAAATCTTGCAAAAAAAGGCAACCTTTCATAAAATCTGTGAAAATGTTAGGGAATGGCTGGAATTGATGCAAAGCTATGAACAAATGAAGATCTTTCAGAAGACCAGGAAACAACAGAAGAGAGAAAACTGACATGGAAATAACCTTGACAAGCTCTTTCCAACACAGTTAAAAGATTATGAGTTCTTGAGAAAATTAGTGATGTCCTGAGATATATTTGCAACAAATAATGCTCTTTGTGATTATTCTGTGAAAGTTAAGCATGATGGGATAGACTTTGCATTTTGTTAGGCCATATTTTGTTTTGAGAAAAATTCCATTCCAGAATGTGCTATTTACATTGAAATATCCTATGGTTTGGATGTGGCCTCCAGAAGTTCATGTGTTGGAAACTTAATCCTCAAATTTATGTTAGCTTTTTGTTTGTTTGTTTGTTTGTTTTCCTGGTACCAGGGATTGAACTCAGGACCTTGCACTTGTGAAGCATATTGGGAGATGCTGAGCTAAACCCCCAGCCCAATGTTAGTTACATTTAGAGGTGGGGATTTTAGAAAGTAACTAGAATTAGATGAGGTCATGAGAGGGGAGCACTGATGATAGCATCATTGGTTTTATAAAATGAGGAAAAGAGTCTCACAGTGACATCTGTGTGATGTACTCTGCCATACAATGATGTAGTAAGAAGCTCTTCACCATTGGCTAAGCAGATGCTGGCATGGTGCTCCTGGACTTCCCATCCTCTTGAACCATGAGGTAAATAAACATCTGTTTAGTAATACCCTAGTATTTGGTATTTTGTTATAGCAATAGACCAAGATAAAATCTTTTCCTTCACAAAGCACTTAATCTCAAAGTCTGGTTTATAATGTACTCTTAGAAAATCATGAAAACATCTGCTTAGTTTACTTGACTAAAATAGGAAGGAGGCTTGTCCCTTGACTTACACAGTCTCTTTTGCTTGGAAATCTCTTAAACATTGAACTGAGAACATTTGCTGTCTTTCCTGATTTACAGATATATTTCTCAGAAACATATTTGTATTTTCCAAACAGTTCCAGCTGGCTGTAGCTAAAGTCTGTGTAACTGATAAGATGCATCTGGCTTCAAGGCACAGATGAAGTGCAGAGGCAGGCTCTTTGTGTCCCTGGAGAATCTGGTTGGGGTAGGAGCTAAATCTCAGGGCCACTTGATCTATAAAAGAGTGCTATGGTAATCCAGAGCAGGAGAAGCTGAGGGGGAGCCTGCCTGCTGGTCCCTTCCTGCAGTTGAAAACTTACCAGACCTTCAGAGAGGACAATTTCCCCCTTCTGATCTGGATGTTTTTTCAAACATGAAGGTAAGATAATAATTTCATTATTTTTGCAATGAAGATATCTCAAAAGGATAGTAATACTTAACTATAGGAAATCAAATAAAGATAAGAACATAGATATAGAAGAAAAGTATCTGGAAGTAATTTTTAAAAATTCTTATTTAAATATATTTTAGTGAAGTTAATTTTTTTTTTTTGTACCAGGGATCAAACACAGGTCCTTGTGCTTGCAAGGCAGGAGGCAGAACCACTGAGCTAAATCCCTGGCCCTCATTTTCTTATTTTTTAGTTGAAGGATATATTCAGATGGCTGGGAACGGAATTGAGTGAAAATTTTTTCTTCAGGTGTCTTTGTTTTGATTTGGAGATATGCAGTAAGACTTAGGTGGACTTTTCTAAGAGCTTTATAGAAAAGAAAATTTGCACACTTGGAACTTTAGAATTTTGGATCTTGATTGAGAGGGTCAGGATTGTGAAAGTAGAGGACATAAGTAGATATAAGAAGGTAAAAGCAGTGGTGAAGGTCAAGTGGTAAAATGAAAGGTTTACCAAATGCACAGGTTAGCTTGGTGCAAAATGGCCAAATATTTTAAGAAATAACTATTCAACCAAAGACAAGACCTTGTTCATGGTAGGCAAGAGCTCTACCACTGAGCCACATTCCCAGCCCTGATCAAAGACAGGACCAAAGACAGAGTTGGGTGTGTGATACACTCCTATAGCCCCAATACTGTGAGAGGCTGAGACAGGAGTGTTACAAGTTAGAGCTCATCATGTAAAGGTACAAGATCCCAATAATGAATGTAACTGTACTGTGTACCTAGAGTGTACCAATAAACTGAATTTAAAAAAAAACAACAAGTTAGAGTCCAGCTTGGACAATTTAGCAACTTAGCAAAACCTTGTTTCAAAAAATAAAATGGTAAATAAAAGGGCTGGGGATATAACTCATTGTGAAGGCCGTGGGCTCCCCACACAGAGACACACAGGCCAAAGACAGAAATCACTCTCGTAGACTTAATTTTCAGATGAAAAAAATAAATTAAATTTTGTATTATTTAAAATTTTTGTGTTTGAACTTTAAAAATGCTGCACTTTAATATTGGAGTAAGGATGTTGCAGCCCTATCAGCTGGTGGATCTCTGCGGCCACCACTCTGCTTTCCATTTGCAGTGTGAATTCATGCCCATTCCCTAATGCAGTGAGAGGAGGAAAAAGATACAGGTCTTGAATGGCCTCTGCCTTACATGGAATTAAATAATTAAAAATTAAACACACATCACAAAGTTAATTTGGTTAATATTATGATGCTACACCACTAAATAGACTTACAAAATTAGACTTAAGATACAGTTTGATCCTTATTACTCTACCTTGTATTTCTATTTAAGATTTTGTAATATTTGCTAGCTCAAAAAGAATGTGATACTCTTGCTAAAGTCATTAGCTAACATTTTTTTGTAATATTTGTATTAACTGTCAATTATTTTATGAGGAGACATCTTAATAATTGTTTTGTGTTTAAAATGTATATCACATTCATCTATGGCCTTTTAATGTGACAATAAATATGCTTTTATACTTTAATTGGTTGATAGTATATCATCAAACAAAGCTATGGTGTCACTTCAAGGTGCATGCCAAATTCCTACCTATATTTAAAAGCAGATATGCTTTTCCAGTAAATCTGAAGGACCATGGTTTTAGGATATGTTTTAAAGAAAAAAATGTGTAGGAAAGCCTTCAAGTCTTGAGAAATCAGAAATGGTTCCCATGTCTGGTCTTTTAAAGGGGAATAATCTTTTGCCTCCTCATCCATCCATGTAAATTAATTCAGAGATGTGATTCCAGAATCACTTTTGGATCTCTCAGTGTCTCTTTTATAGGAGATAATTTGAGTGTGAGATATTTTAGGAGGACTTCAAAGCCAAGGGAGCTTTCCTTTAGCTGTCTGTGTTCAGCAATTTATGGTGTCTCCTTAGAAATGAATTCTGAAGACTGTGAACCTAAGGAATGGTCAGGAACAGCAAAATCTCAGATCAGGGTTGTAGCTGGAACATATTAGCGGTATCTTGTAGAGCTACATCTCATCCAGGGTTGAGCATGAAGAGAAGATAATCAGGAGGATGTACTTCGAGCTGAGTTATATTGACACAGTACCAAAATATCCTACATTATAACCTAGTTAATTCTAAACTAATTGTTTTAGAGTCAGCTCATATCTCTCTCTGTCATTTATGTAGCTGCTTATTTATTTGTGACTATTTCATCTCTGTTGCATATTTGTTATGATATTATTTCTGAAAGGAAAGAATAATTACTTCCATTTCAGGGACTTAGCCAGCAGAGTTTTAAGATTTAGTTTTGTTAGTAGTCTCAGATTTTATAACTTGTGAACAGAACTGGCCTTGCAATAAGCTGAACTTGATGGATTAAAAAAGGAATAGGTGCATGGGGAAGGTAGTGGTAGAGATACCCATGATGAAAAAAGTTTATTCCCTAAAATCTGGTTGAAATTCTTTTACAACCACCTACCAAGTTGGGCATAGTGGTGCACATCTGTAATTCCAGCACCTGATAGGCTGAGACAGGAGGAATGTGAGGCCAGCCTGGGATGTAGTGGATTCACAGTCAAAGACTCTGTGTCAAAAAAACAAAGCAACGAAATGAAACACCTCATCTATCAGGATATTAAAAATGAATACTTTCATCATTCATGTTTTGGCTGAGCCAGAAACCAAGAAAAATACTCAAGATTGTCGGACTTTAAAGTGAGATGTTGGACATTCTGTGCAGTATTATAAAAAGACTAACCTTAAATTTGTCTGGTGAACCTCACGACATATCTCATGCTCAACAGTATGCAAACTTGTATTCCTTATGGTGTGAAGAACAAAGGGAATGATACTTGATGCACATTTGGGGAAAAATTAAAGGCACAGGCCTGCCTTCAGCAGAGTAGGTAAACTCAGAAGCTCTGTGTACAGCCTGGATGCACACACACACACACACACACACACACTCACAGCCAGGTTTGGGTAGTCAAGGAGTCTGCCTGACAAATGAACCACCCAGAGGATGAAGCAACTCCAACATACAGCATCAGTACAGAAAGAACTCGTAGGAGGTAGGCTGTGGTGAAGGCCATTCACTTGTGTTAGCGAAGCGTGGTTATGGATGTCCAGTAGGGAGACCACCAAAGAACAACAAAACACCTTGAGAGCTGAAGAACCAGCATTCAAATACCTGCACTCCGATTTAACATCACCAGACTCCTACTGGATCAATCAAGCGAGATCCTTTCTGGCTCTCTTCCCTCTCTCTACTGCCATTTTAACTTTGAAGAAGACAGGCAGCTTGAGCAGCAGGTGACAGAAGCGGGTGGAGGAACTTTGAAGTGAGACCCACTCCTTCCTTACTATAAGCACTCAGAAACGAAGTAGGTGCGAAATACAAAATTAACGATATATTAAAGTTTGAGTATTAGATTTTCTACAATTTTTATTTTCTAAAACTATGAGTATTTGTTAATGCCTACGGGTGCCGAATAAAGCTATGCAGCATGCTCTCTCAGAGACAGAAAACAAATGAGTTGCCGTGACAGAAGAAAGGCTTATAGCTGAAAAAGGAAACCCATAAAGGTTGTAACTTAAAAAAACCTTAAAGGTTATATTCTTCAAATGTTTGTTGAAAAGGCAAAAAACTATTCATAGCTTCCTTCATCATTGTTTACTTTCTTCTCTTTGTCCACAGTTCATGAATTATAGGCTAAAAAAAATATATTCAAACTATAAAAGCCAGAAGTAGGCAAGTAGGATTTTATAACTAAAAGGAAGATATCTAATTAGAAGGTGGAGGATCTAGCGGGAGAGTCTGGATAAAATTTTGGGAAGAAACTGCATAGGTATATTGAGGGAAAAGATGTTTGGGAAATCAGGTAGAAAACAAAGCATTTTGGCCTCTTGAAATGTGGGATAAGATGATCTCAAGGCCTTTTAAACTGAGTTGTGAACAGAGTAAGTATAATATTCTTCGAGTTACCAGGAAAGATTTTAATTATATGCATCCTCACCTTCAATTCTCAGTAAAAGTGGAATAGCTTAAAGTAAAAATGAGATAATAGAAAAGACCTATAATTTCACAGCCAGAAATAAACTGTTATCCTTTGCTATATTTTCTAGATTTGTTTTTAATACGTGTTTGAGTTTTCAAATGAAATATAATCACGTTTTACACTTATTTTGTAACCTGTCAGATCCTTGATATTCAGGTTTGTGCTATCACATAAAGATGATTATAAAAGGCCACCGGGGTGTTTTAAGCACTGAGGGGACCTCCCACATTACGAAGGAATAAAATGAGAGTCACCGCCCCCTGCCTACAGTTTACGCTTCAACTTTTGATTACTCATTGGCAGACCTCCTTTCCTTTTTACCTCTTCAGCCATTAGCATTGCTGCTGCTTCCAAGCTTCCGTGGGTGGGGAAGTTAGGAGGGAGTGAGCCCCGGACCCACTAAAAGACTTTGAAGATTGGCAGGCTAAAGAAATGCCTGAGGCTATTTAAATGGGTGGCGTGTTTTCGGTTTGTCTATGGCTTGCCCAGACCCTAGTTGCCTTTACAAGAATGAGCAGTAGGAGATGTACTCCACAGAATTACATAGATTTTTACCTTAAATATTTATTTTTTCATTAATTTTATTGGTACTTTTTAGGTATACAGTAGAGTAAACGTTCATCATTGAGATCTTGTACCTTTACATAATATATATTGATTCTTATTTTTTCCCCATACTCCTGCCCTCTCTTCACCCCCTCCACCTGCCCTTAAATATTTCTATTTTTTTAAATTAAAAGTGAAAATTATATATACTTGTGTACATCATGTTTTACAGTTTGAAACACTATGGAAAGGCTCAATTGAGCTTATTAACATATGCATTACTTTACATGCTTTTGTGGTAAGAACACTTAAACTCTACTCTCAGCAATTTTCAAGAATAGGAAATGTTACATAATATAATCAT